ACCAAAGCTCACTATACTGCACCACTAAACTCACTGAAGCATATCCTAGGCTCTCCTAGGTTCCCGACCTCACCCAACCCTCAGCTGCTGAAGGACTCCTACCAATGTCAACTGACTTCCTCATGAATATAGTCACACGCAACAGAGATCAGATAATCCATCGAGTAAAAGATTCAACACTAAAATGGTTGGACACAAACAAGAGCTGAGCAATAGGATCAAATCCACCGCTCTAAGATTATTTAACATGTGCCACATGTGACTTAATATACTCACTTAGCAGTCAACTCACTTCACTAAGAGTCCCACGAAGCACAAAGCAAGCAACATTCAGGCAACGTAAAATCTAACCAGCATACTCTAAACAAGCCATTACATCTACTTATTAGATAGACAAACTAGCATGCATTACTAAAGCTCATACAATCAGGCACATAAAAGGCATCTCTCCTATCATATAATATTGAGCAAATCCTTAGCTCTGATTTAGCATGCGATTCACATAACCATATCATATCACATAATAAACATGTATTGGTACTTTGGGAACCACTTACTTGAGCTCGGCCGATTGCACGTATCACACCCCTTTCTTGATTAGAAATTCCTTTTTAATTAAATGTTTATTTATAAAACATTTCACCAAACCCTCTGTTTGAGTTCAGGCACACCCGAGAGTATGCCCGAATCCCTCAAACCAAGGCTCTGATACCAACTTGAAACGAACCAAAAATCCAAGGTAAAAATTTCATTTTTATTATAACCAAAGCACTATTTATCTTGTTTAAGACATTAAAAGAAACATTTCAATTAAAACAAATATCAGAGTCTAATCCCAAAGATCACATATTGCGGAACCACGGGTGTTGCGCTGCGATCGTCTCGAGCTCTTTCATTTGAAAACTGGAGTACCTGAAACAAAAACTGAAAACCATAAGCACAAAGCTTAGTGAGTTCCCCAAATACCATATACCATAAATATCAAACGCTCCATACATGCCATACATAACTACGAGCCATACATATCATTCATATATCATAATCAATAAAGGTGCTATGTGCCGCACATAGTCTTGCCATTATGCCACGAGCTACCTCGTGGTCTTCTTACCAGGCCGGGGGCCACAACCCTAGGTCTTACAGACAAGTGCCAGGAGCCACCTCCGGGTCTTCCATGCAAGCATCACAATGACAACTATCATACAGTCTACATACAGCGTGCCAAGGGCTAACCCCGGGTCTTCCTACAATGCATAAACCAAATGGACCGACATTAGTGCCTTCGACCCATACGAACAGTGAGGAGACTCACCTTGAATGCTGAAGCTCACTGCACCAAACCCTAGCTGCTGACCTGATGACTTCCCAAACTAGCAATACCCAAACAACATCCAATTAGCAACTGAAATCCAAACCATGATCCATAATCCAAATTTAGGGTAAAATAACCATTTTACCCCTGGCCCATCAAGACTCACAACCAAGGCCCAAGCCCAAAACCAACAAGGCCCAAAACTATAAGATCCATAAAAGCCCACTAATGGCTCAATTTTCCAAATTGGGCCCGATCCCATATGGGTCTTATCCTAAGCGCATATTTCCTCGAATACAATTCAGGTTACCTCAAACACCCCTTGGGACAAACTTGGTCAAAAGCATAAATCAAAATTCAAAGTCAACTCCCCGAGTTGACTTAACTCGTCGAGTAAGGAATATCGAACCGTCTCCATGATGAAATCGCCTGTGTTGACAGCTCCGTCACATCAACAAACGACCAGACCATCTTCATCGAACATGTGTCCTGATCAAGGCTAGAACAACTCAGCTACCCTACGCCAACGCTGACGTCTACTAGCCTAGGGGACTTGTTAATGTGTCCCTATAGGAATACGTTAAATATAATATAACTGCTATCTTTAGGACGACCTAGTTAACGATCGCTGTCAGGCCTAGTGCCAGACGCGGGTCCTCGCCCTCGTGGTCTCGCACTAGGACCTTGGTGTTAGGCGCTCTCGCCCCAAGGTCTAATTCCAGATGATAATCTTCGGTTTATAATAAGCCAAAACACAGTTGGTCACTCTCCAGAGTGACAAGTGTAGCACTCAGCGCTTTGCCCTCTGTCTCGTCTGCACTAATAGCAGATGACCACTAGTGGTGCAAAATCGACCAATGTGCCTCCACGTTATGTCGACCCAGACGAGACAAAGGATACTGTTAGGATTATGCTCTAACCATGAAAGGTATAAAAGGAATCCTTCCCCTCCAGAGGAAGGGATCGTCTCCTTCTTTAAAAACCCTAATCTCCATATATCCATATACACTCATACTAAGTAGACCGTTGGAGCTTCGTCCCGGGACCTCCTCGCGGGCGTTGACTGACGTTGCTTCTTCATTGTTGTGATTATAGGGCTTAACCCAGGCGTAACCTTCTCCAGGCGGCGTTAAATCCAGGACGCATATCACAACAAATATATATGGGTATAATAACGTATTTTATATAAGTGTATTTCGCGCATTTTCACATAACTATGTTTTTATAAATAAGTACTTAAAATAAAAAAAATATTTTTTTAATAGGTATTCCGCATACAAAAATATTTTTTTTTGTTTTTTATAGAAAAAATGAAGGTTTTTTTATATGAAAATATGTTTTCTTATAAACATGACTTTATACAACAAAGAAAAAACATATTCAAAACAAAACTTTGAAAAAAAAGATATAAAAAAACTAAATTTATGATCAATTTGTAACAAAATTTTAAAATCTAGGCCAAAAATATAAATTTTGTATCAAATTTGTAATAAAATTTAAATTTAGAGCCAAATTTGTAAATTTTAAAAATAGGATGATCCGTTGACCGGATAAAATGATCAAAATAAATACAGTTATCGAATTTTTATCTTTAATTGAATTAAAAAAAACATATAAAGACTAAATCAATTATAATATTAAAATATAATAATTTTTATGAAGTTTTCCAAATGTGATGAACATTTCCGTGAAAGAAAGAGGATTAAGGGGAATAAAAAAGATATTCCTAATGCCAGACAAAGATACGTCATTTTCAAGCAACACTACTTTATTCACTTGCTTATTCATATCCAGTAAGCAAATATAATTTGTACTTCTATATAAAATTAGAAAGGGATAATGTCATAAAAAACTTTAAGTTTGGCAGAAAATGTCGGTTTTACCCTTCGGCAGATTTTTGGTTCGTTTATACCGCAAACTTGTCATTTTTTTGTCAGTTTTGCCCTTGTTACCTGCAATAGCAGGTTTCCAGGTTACTATGAATTATTTTTTGCGAAAAAACCCTTAAGTCTACAAATATTTTGCAAAAAAACCCTTAAGATTATAAACATATAAAATATAAATATATATTTAAAATTTTATAAAACTAAATAGTTTTCTACTGAAACATATTTTTAGTTTTATGTACGGTAAATTTTATTTTTATATCTAAATTTTAGAAAAGTTACCTAGTTTTATCAAAATTTAAATATATTTATTAATTAATACTTAAACTTTTCAAAGCAACATTAAAAAACGTCTGTTAGGTAATAATAATATGACATTAGTTACATTCAATTAATTTTTTTAAAAGAAAAAGAAAAATATTTTATTTTTTTAAAAGGTTTGTATTTCAGAAATAATAAACTATCATATTTTTTTATAAAAATAAATATATTTATATAATAAATTAGACAAATATATTTATATTTTTTTATGTTTAAATGTTTTATATTATTTTTGATGTTTGAAATGTTTCTGATATTTTTATATAAAAAATATGATAAATTATATGTATTTAACATATAAAATATGATACGTTAGTATTTCTGAAATACAAACCTTTTAACATATAAAATATTTTTATTTACCTTTTAAAAAAATTAATTGAATGTACTTGATGCCATATTATTCATATTAACTATTTTAGCATAATTAATTATTAACTAACAAATGTTTTTTTAATTTTGTTTTGAAAAGTTGAAGTATTAATTAAGAAATATATTCAAATTTTGAAAACTAGGTAACTTTTTTAAACTAGGTAACTTTTTTAAAATTTAAATATAAAAAGTTTATATCAAACCAATATAAAAGTTACCGTATTCAGTAGAAAACTATTTAGTTTTATCAAATTTTGAATATATATTTATATTTTATATGTTTATAATCTTAAGGGTTTTTTTGCAAAATATTTGTAAACTTAAGGGTTTTTTCGCAAAAAATAATTCATAGTAACCTGGAAACCTGCTATTGCAGGTAATAAGGGCAAAACCGACAAAAAAATGACAAGTTTGCGGTATAAACGAACCAAAAATCTGCCGAAGGGTAAAACCGACATTTTCTGCGAAACTTAAGGTTTTTTTATGACGTTATCCCAATTAGAAAATACTAAGCTTTCACAGCTTTAGTTTTAAAAAACGATTATCATTTTCATTATTCTATATTCATCTAAAATTATTCGAAATAACTAACATATATATAAATTTCGAAATAACTGACATATTCATTCCATGATTACTTTATTAATTAGTAACTTGTTTTTATTAATATATACAAATAAATAAGATATAACGATCAATGATTACTTCCAATTGTTTCAAAATTATCAACAGTTGGTGAACCCTGCATATCCACATTTCACCAACTAAGAAGCTTTGCAAGAACTGGGAGGTTGAGTGAGCATCATCCTTATCGAACACAAGCCAACCACCCTTATCAATAATGGTCAACAAGCTATCATTTTCACTTCACAAAAAGATAAAGTAAAGCCCAAAATTAAAGGCATGAAGATGATAGACCAACAAAAACAAAAGATAAAGTATACCAACACAAGAATATTAGGAGACACGTCACCCCTACCCCCAACTTTGCTTCCCTTCTCATTTAAGACCCCTCCCTTTACTCTTCTCTATCTTTTCCCTTTTTAGAACTACATAGGTTGTTAGTCTTGTACTAGTTTCATCACACATTTTTGGTGGTCATGGGTTCTATGGGCAACCCTAGCAACACCAATTTGCCACCATATAATGCTTATAGAGATTGTTCACAAGGTATTTGTAGCATATATTGCCCACAATGGTGTTACATAATATTCCCTCCACCACCTCCATTCCAATCCGACGATGATGATTCCGGCATGAATTTCTCCCCTCTAATCATCGTGGTGATTGGAATCCTGGCGAGTGCTTTCCTTTTGATAAGCTACTACACCATCATCTCCAAGTATTGTAAACGGGGAGAAAGCCAATTGAATCCTTCTCCAGAATCAGAAATCCGGAATCAATCAACAACTCATGACCAGTTGCAACATGCGACTACTGGCCTAGACGATTCATTGATCAAGTCCATCGCGGTATGCAAATACAGAAAAGGTGATGGAGTTGTAGATGGAACTGATTGTGCAGTATGTCTTAGTGAGTTTCAAGAAGGTGAGAGCTTAAGATTGTTGCCAAAATGCAATCATGCATTCCATCTCCCTTGCATTGACACATGGCTTGAATCTCATTCCAATTGTCCGCTATGCCGATCCCATGTCATGCCTGGAATACCAGTTCCATTCCAACGGCCTATGGAATCACAAATTACATCTTCCAATTTTAATGTATCTTCTGTTGTGTTTCAAAGAAGGAATGATCTTGTTCTCGTTGTGGAAGATATACCACGGGATGATCATAGAGATGCAGTTATTGTCAACGTTGTCGCGAATGAGATTTTACCAAAATACCCTTTTCAAGAACTAGATTGCAACGTTGATGGGACGAGGATTCCCATGAACATGGGAATTGGAAATGACGACGATGTTCAAGAATTTAGAAGATCAACTTCATTGGGGTCAGTGTCTTGTGAAAATCCAAATATTTTGATAGCTGATATACTAAGGATTGAAGAGGCTTATGATGATGATGATCATCATCATCATCATTATGAACAAGTGGGCCCATCCAAAGTAGAAGATAGTAAATCAACAAAGAGAAGTAATACAATGAAGAGATCTGTTTCCACAGGGAGATTCATGTTCACAAGAAATGACAAAGGAAAAAATTCTATTCTACCCAACTGAGAACAGAATTTGAAATTTCAATGTACAAAGAGAGAGAATATGATTATTATGTAGATTTCATGACATTCACATGTTAAAAGGATGCTTTAATCCATTGACAAAGATATGGTATTTTTTTCCCCATAAGTTATAAATTATCAATCTACAACAATTCTTGTGACTTGTAAGTTGTGTTATATAACTTATAACAGTGATACATATTTTAAACTTGATTTATATAATCCAGAAAATAAATGAGTGGGAAAATTTATGTGTTTTAAGTAATATATTTTGTATCATATATTCTTTTAAACCTCGCTAAAACTACTAGGTGTGGGCAACATGTTATTACATGTTATCACACCCAAATTGTCCACCTCATCATCCTAGTCACAATTTGGTGTTATAACACCCAAGGTGGAAATGGGCAACATCTAATAACATGTGATAACACCAATTATTTTCTATTTTATTTTTTATTTATTTTTGATGTTTTTTTTTCTATATTTCGAATTTGTTTTTTTTTATTTATTTATATTTGAAAAGTAAAAATAAAATTTTAATAAAACTTAAATTAAAAACAACATTAAAAAAATTACAACAAATCGTCTTTGTCGTTATCATCATTGTACGGATGAGCCGGATCAAATTCATCTATAGTTGGTTGATTTTTGTGTTTGTGTTTTGAGCGATATAGAAAATAGAGATAGATATAGAGAAATATGTGTAGTAAAAAGAATGAGGTATATATATAAAATGAAAATTTAATTAGTAAATTTTTTTTTTTTATTAAAGTTACCGTTTTTAAACGGTTTGAATTTGCAAACGGTCGATTTTTTACGCGTTAAGATACGTTACCACCATCGCGCGAGATAACATAACATCTAATAACAGGAGGGGGGACGGTGTTCCCCCGTTATGGCGCCGTTATGTCGTTGCCACATCGGATAACGCCATACGGGCGTTGCCCACACCCGCCCCTCTAAAGGATAATTTTGTTGGATCAAAAATATATATGATAAGTGGGTGGGAGCGGGGAATTGTTGATGATTTTAGTGTCATCAAACAACATGGTATAATCGGAATTAATTCGTGACAGTCTGGGTTTAGCTTTAGATGTAATGCGAGCTTGGAGGTGCGGCCTGCATTTTTAGATAAGCTAAAGTGATATCAGAAACACGGCCCCCATGACCCATCGTCCCTGGTGGAGATCCAATATTTCTTACAGGGGAGGGGGCTAGTGGGGATGAGGGTGAGTGTAATTGTGTAAACGACACCCTATTGACAGCTCGTGCCAAAGCTGCATTAGAACATTACATGAGTGATAAAATCATATAGCACTGTTAATATTTAATATTTTGGGCCATTGTTTTGAACCATAAAACCTCAAACTATGCCAATCCAAACATATTTTGGGCTTGTACAAAACGTCTCTAATTGCGCAATGGTATTTAATTTTCTTTTGCTTATTTTAGAAGAAATTACATCATTATTACGAAATTTATGAAAGATACTTCAAGCTTTCAAAATCACCAATAATAACAAAAATATAAACATTTACTAACATATTCTTCTCCAAACATAATCGACAAAACAATTCCACAAAAATAACCAGTAAGGACGCTAAAACACAATCGCACTTGATAAAGTTCTTTTTAGTATTTTTTTATTATTGAACAAATCCTTCTATTATTATTATTTTAACCACATATATACATAAAGAAATAAAACATAAAAATACGCCATTTCTTATCACAAATAAAAGACCAAGTAGGACAAACATAAGCCTTTTGCCGTTTCAGTCATAAGTCCTTGTTGAGCAACCAATCAAATAAAAAGAGGAAAAAAATTTAACATTCTTCGGTCGATATGACCAACGTCCACAGACACGAACTAGCGGTTTTAAGTGCTTTCTTATTCCACTAACGGGGAGGGAGGTTGGGGCGGCTGCCCGGATACGTGACACTTGATGGGAAAAACGCAATCACAATAGTACATAACAATGCGGAAATAAACTTCGTTTGACGAAACTTTCCCGACTTGAATGAACCTTTGAGGATGCAAACAAATAGGGTATTTCAGTTGCAACAAAAAAACTCCAATGCAAGTTATATGATCTATATAATCAACCCAAAACACGTGACTACTAGAGCTGCTTCAAATCCACTATCACCAATATTTAAGCAATACAATGTCTTCTCTACATGTAATAAAGGCATACAATAATCATCATACACTTGGAACAAGATTACTTCAAGTGTATGGAATTAAATAAGCAAAAGAGAAAGGATGAATATCACCAAAAAAGGCTACTTTCCACTAAACAGAAGCAACGATTCCCGATCCTACAGAGCTGATCTCGACAAATCAACCGTTGGATTTGAATGTGCCAATGTTAGGAAGCGGCTGTCCAAAAAAAAAATGGGCCGTTGGATCTCCGGGAAACGAACGAACACTACAGAGGTGTCAAGAAATCCAAAAAATGGAAAACCCTCTTTTGCTCTCTTTTCTCTCTATATGTGGCTGAATTTGTTTGTGCATCATTATGAACATTAGGGCATCAAGTAATATGGGCCAAGATGGACTAAAGATATGTTGGGCTATTCATGGGCTAAAATAAACCCAACAAATCTCCCCTTTTAGACTATGGGGACGAGTTCACCATCCCGACGATCGAGTAACATATCTTGAACTTCTCCCTTGCTAAAGCTTTAGTCAACATATCGAAACCATTATCATCGGTATGAACTTTCTCAAGTTCAAAAAAGTTATCTTCAAGAGCATCTCTAATCCAATGATAGCTCACATCGATATTGTTTGTTCTTTTGTGAAACATAGAATTCTTAGCAAGGTGAATAGCACTTTGATTATCACAAAGAACCATGTAGCGTTTTTTGCAAAAAACCAAGCTCTTGCATAAATCTTTTTAGCCACAATAACTCTTCGCAAGTTTATGTTGCTACCATATACTCAACCTCAGTTGTGGACAAGACAACACACTTTTTGCAATCTTGACTACCATGACACATCCCCTTGCAAAAGTCATCAAATATCCAGAAGTGGATTTCATGTTGTCCTTATTTCCTACCATATCAGAATCAGAATCCGTATAACTAACAAACATAGGTGCCCCATCTCCAAATGTTATACCCATTTTGGAAGTACCACATAGATATATGGAAATCTACTTAACTGCTTCCCAATGCTTTCTTGGATTTGACAAAAATTGACTAACAACACCAAATGCATGTGCAATATCAGGCCTTGTACACACCATGGCATACATCAAACTTCCAACGGATGATGCATATGGAACTCTATCCAACTAATCAATCTCCTTCTTTGTAAAAGGGCAATCTCTATCAGTCAACTTAATGTTGGTAGTTAGAGGTGAACCAACCACTTTGGCTTTATCCATGTTAAATCTGCAAAGAACCTTCTCAATGTGTTGGTCTTGTGACATGTGTAACTTCTTTGAAGCTCTATATCTAGTAATTCGAATGCAAAGAATTTCTTGTTGTAACGCTCGATTCCTGGTATGTATTTTAAATCAATTTATTCATTTTTGTACAGGAACTCGACGATTTAGAGGCCCCAAACTCGTCGAGTAGGAATGGAATTTGGACGCGGGATTTAAAGTCTACTCGTCGACTCGAGAGCCTCAACTCGACGAGTAGGGCTGCCAGAATGAAACCCTAATTTTCAGGGTTTAGCACCCTATTTAAACACCTTAACCTCCAAAGGCTAGCCTCATTTACAGCCTCCATGATCCCAAACCCTAGCCACGAAACCCTAATCCATTGTTGAGTGTTTTTGAGCCATTTTGTTCATTCTTTGTGATTTTGAAGCTTGTGAAGGAAGGAGAAGCTTGGAGATTCAAGAAGAAGCTAGTAGAGCCAGCGTTTGAGCTGCATTTCTGACTCATTTGAGGTATAAAGTCGATACCTTGGCTTTCTATTACTCAGATCTTCATTTAGGGTAGTATGTTGTCACTTTTGGGCCATATTGAAGTCATTTTCGGGATTTGAGTATATCATTAAGTTGTAACTTCAGATCTAGGCACTAATGAGCTTATGAGGCTTAAAGTTGCCAGCTTTATCAAGCCTTGGCCCTTCTCCATGCCCTAGATCTCTTATATAGCTTAGTTTTGGTGTTTTTAGCTTCATGACACCATGCATGGATGTAAAGTTAGCAACTTTACGTGGTAACTTAGTCCTAGAGGACCAGATCTATGGTTAGGAAGCATTGAACTCGATTAGAAGTGACTGAATGGATTTAGACAAAAGGGAACTCGATGAGTTGTTCATCCAACTCGACGATTTGGATCGTGGTCCCCCAACCTTTTTTGTTATTAAGCAAACTCGGCGACTCTAGGAGATGACTCAACGAGTTGGCCATGGTTTTTGGGTTTTGAAGATTGAAGAACTCGACGTGTTCAAGGAGGAACTCGACGAGTTGTAGGTAAATGTCCCGATCCTGTTGATAGGAGAAACTCAACGAGTTCGTGCAAGAACTCGACGAGTTCGATCGCGATTTAAGAGGTTATTGATTTATTGGACTCGGCGAGTTGATGGACCACCTGGGCGAGTTGAGTCAACCCAGAAGGTTGACTTTGACCAAAAGGTTGACTTTGACTTGGACTTTGACCAGAGTTGACTATTAGGGGGGGGGGGGGGGTCATGAGTTATGAAAGGGTAATTAAAGGAGAATTTATGTGTAGGAGTTTGAGGGGAGATTGCAGAGCCGAGGACAGTTCAGCTACTTCACAACATTTGAGGTGAGTTACCTTCCAGTAGAGGTGGGTCTAAGGCACCAATGTCGGCCCACTAGTAAGTGATTATAGTTGAGATGATTGTCTTTGTGATAATTTCCTGGTATGCTACTATCTGTTATGCCTTATGTGCTAGTATGTTATGATATTATATGATAGTAGTAGGAGGGGTGAAATAGTCCCCGGTTACCGGTTGAAAGAGACCGAAGGGGTAGACAGTACCCATTTATGCCTAGCACTATGCTTATGA